GCGGGGTGCCAGGCGTGCCAGTGCCCAGCGGGGTGCCAGTGCCCAGCGTGGGTGCCAGGCGCGGGGACACGGGGTGCAGCCACCCCCGTATCCTCCAGGCTGGACGCGGCACCCCTGCGCCGTGCACCGTGCCAGGCTGCTGGCACAGCACCCGGGAGCCCGGCGCGGGGCACGGCAAGCAGCTGCCTGTGCAAACCTTCTTCCACTTCCCCACAGAGCGCTGCCGCCTCGAAGACACCACCGGGGCTCCCCTTCCCCGCTGTTGCCATCCCCTGGGAATCTCTCACTGCCTTGTTGGCCTCAGCTTTGGCAGCAGCTGACGAGTGGGTCTACACTGTCCATCTGGTGCAGGCTCAGCTTTGCTTCTAGCAGCTAGCTTGGCTGCTTAGATACACTGTAAGATCATGCCAGAGCACCAAGATGGAGGAAAAATAGGTCCCCAGCAGAAATCCGTAGCAGGGAGGGCCAGTTTGTGTATCACAGAAACAGAGTAGGGCACACTAAGTACAGCAGGTCCTGCACTGGTTCTCCTGGCAGGCCAAAAAAAAGCCTCCATGCCCCAAAGGACACCATCCCTCAGCAACCCACTGTAAAGCCCAGAGTCTCTCAGCCCCACTGAGTAGTTATCACCGTTTGGCACTTGTTTGTGCATTTAGTTACACTTCTCCATAGCAACCACACAGATCCCAGCTTGACTTGCCACCAGCCAGGAGCGGGTGTGCGGAGCAGGGTGCACCAACACTCTCAGAGTCATGTTGGTACGTGCCCAGGCTGGGCGCTGACTCCACGTCTGCTCTCCTGGGGGGGACCCACACTGCGGGCGTGGTGCAGTGACTTTGGCAGGGGGCCTGAAGCTACACAGGGAACTGGGTGCTCTCTTCCTCTCAGGTATGGATGCTTGTAGACAGTTTACTGGTGCTGAATAATGGACACCAGCCCCTGCCGCAGGGCTCTAGATGTCATCTAACCCAAAATTTCTAATGTTCTTGCCTACCAGGGAAAGTTTTGAGCTTTTTTCATTTTCACAATTCCTCCCGCAGCCTTTCAAGTCACTGCCACGATCCACTCTCCTTTGCTGACATCCCCGTCAAAATTGCCCTGCTCTTCTTTGATTTATTTGTATTTTGCCTTTTTCTGCTTCCTCCATGCCAACTACAGAAAGCAGAAGGCACCTGCCCTCCTGCTTCTCCCAAGACTCTCACAATTTTGCTTAAAAGAGTTTCGGTTCATTTTACTGGGCTGGTCTTCACTTTTTTAAAATGTTTTTCCAGCATCTCCTCTCAGAAAGGGTAAAAGAGAATGAAAGAAGGTTTGGAGGCAGGCAGTAAGAATGTTCAGAGATATGGGAACAAACTGTACAGTGAAAAACAGTGTAGGCTGGGACTCTTCAGCTTGGAAGAAGGACACAGGGTGGAGAAGAGGTCTACAAAATCATGAGTGGCCCAGAGAAGATGGGGAGGATTGATTATTTGCTGTGTCTTCTGACGCAAACCTGTCAATCGCTTTTGCCTTGACTGGAGCCTCAAAGGCACAAGAAACCACTGTGCTGCAGGTGTTGTCCAAAGGTTCAGTGCCCTTTTCAGCCCACACTTCTTGCTACATTGGGGGCGAAGTTCATGGCACGCCTTTGAGAGGCGTGCTTAAAGAGTCCTGCCTCAGAAATATTTTGTAACCATGTTTTCACGTGGAGAACTCGGCCACCGCCAAGTGGACCTTTACCAAATTGTTCAACAGAAAAATATTCAGAGCTGGGAGGAGAATGAGCTGGATGAATCCCAGCCTAGAAAGAGAGTCCTCCAGAGGGTTGTATCTTGCAGGAACCGTCTTGTAGGGAAAAAGGGTTGCCACTGAGACTGTAATTTCTTCTGCTGCACTGCCAACCCCACGGCAGCCTGCAAGGGTGAGTGATGAGGTGTCCTGAGTTGGTTGTCCTGTTCTACAGAAGAAATACCCCTCCCCTGACTCTGCCCTGGAAAGTAAGTGGAATTGAGATGGTCCCACATTTTCGAGGACCACAAGAGGGCAACATGAGAGCACCCTGCAGCCAGCAAGGCTCAGCAAGGTAACCTGTGACACTGCTGGGATGCAGGTGGCACAGGCAGCTGTGTGTGGGCTCAGCATCACCCTGTCCAGGGACTACTCAGCTGAATTAACCAACTGAGAGCCCTTTCATTCCTCTCAGCTTCATACAGATCCCCAGAGGTCAGCAGTCAGCTCAACCAGCAGAGCTAGTGCCGTAGTTGGGGGCAGCAATATCTTCCCACGCAGGGGCTGGACACAAGGTGACAGTAGACCCCTGTGTGCTGCATGGGGCCAGGCTGTGGGACACGGGGTGCCCTCCCTCGTCCTGCCTGCATGTCCACCAGGAAATCTTTTGGGTGAACGTGCGCTGACATGTGGCTTCAAGCAGGAGGGTCCAGCATCTGCAGTGATGCTGCTCGGCTTGGCCAGTGGAAGAAGTGTTAAACCACATGGAATTTTGAGCATCTCAGCCTTGCCATTCTTTTTAATTTTCTTCTGCTACAGGAAAAAAAAAAAAAAAGATAAAATTGAAGGCTTGGAATTCAGCTTTGGCTGTGACTGCTGAACAGGGCAGTGTCTCCAGCCCACTCTGGCCTCTACAGACCAAAATCACTCAGCCACAATTAAGTGCATTACCATTCCTGGCACTTTGTAGCCTGTATAATTATCCTGCAAGGGACAGCTTCCTCTGCCTTTACAAGAACTGGCATGACGGAGAAAAAGCTTCTGTTAGCAGGCAGAGCTACAACTGTGTGTGTGCTGCTAATGCTGAAAATGCCACCAACATCTTGTAGCACAGGCAGAGGAGGAGGTGACAGTGAGGGATGAAATGCAGAATATTGCTTATGCAGAAGGGTGATACAGGTTGCTCTCAAGAAATGAAGAGACGTTTGGAAAAGAGGAGGAGCAAAGGGATGTTTGGGGGACACTTTTTGGACAGGCTTGAGACAGAGAGACAAACAGTGTAACCAATGGCTGTATGGGGGAGATAGGGATAACCAGCCAAGGAAAAAGAAATCACTGGGGCATGCTGTTTATCCCTCTGGAGTTATTTATTTTCAATGAAGAATGCTAGAAAGGTTTTGCCTGCTTAAGATATTTTTACCATGGAAATAACCAGCTTCGTTTCTACTCTTGCTTCCACTCCAAACCTGCCTGCACAGCCTAAGCAGCATTTTAAGCCTCAGCCCGTAGTACCCCACCTCACTGAACAATGGATCCTGTCTCTCCTAACCCAATTACAACTCACATGGCTTATGTGGTACCTGCACAGCACACTGCTGGCATCAAGCATCCATACCTCCCCATTGCACATTGACAGGACCGAGGTTCAGGGTATTTGTCTCAAAGGAACATCAAATAACTTGGCTTGCACTTCTACTCATCGTCAATTTTAAAACCTCACATACTTGCTCCTGTGCTCAGACTAATAGTTTGTGTTGGCTATAGCAGACCCCTCAGCAAACCATCTGGTTTGGGCCTGAAGACATAAGGAGATGGGATCATCTTTGGCTTTTGCCAGCATGCATCATTTCAGCCCGTCTGACTACCAGTAGTCCAAACCAGCTACTAAAAAGTCCCATCTGCACATCAAGATCAGGACATGACCTTGGACCACCACTTCCCAACACTGCCAACCAGCAATAGGTGTGCTACATATGGTTCAAACTGTCTTCAGAGATGCTCACATCACTGCCTGCTTTAAAACTGACCTTCCCCTAACTTCAGGGTCTACAGGCAGCAAGTGTCCTTACCTGAGGGAGAAGTGTGGCACTCACACCCAGGATTCGTGTGCCTAGGTGAGTGCAGCATACACCAGGGCCTGGGTTCATTATCCCTGGTATGCACTAGTGTCTGGGCTTCTCAAGCGGGCTGTAGCAACTGAGTCCAGGAGTAAAGGGAACAGAGCTCTCTGGGATGGAGTGACTGCAGGAGAAGAACTCAGCACACACAGACACCAGACACACTTCCCAGGGAACGGTAGCCCAGGCCCATTTTGTTGTGAATGACTTCACAATTTGATCACGGATTAAATACTTCCTTGTTTAATAACCTAATAATGTGGGCTAGTTTCATGCTGGACTGTTGGAAAGTTCACTGTTGGAGTCATCAGCCAGACCTCATGTAAACGGCTTCCCCCAGCTCTCTGCCAAGTGAGCTGTCCTCATCTTTGGGTCCCCCGGCGGGTGGCTCTTGGCACAACTTTCTTCTGAAGGGCTTTGTTGTTCACGCGTGTGCCTGAGGCTTTACGCTCCGGGGGCTTCCTCACCACTTCTTGTTTGAGCTGGAAATGCACCTGGAGAAAGAACAAAAATAATGGTGTGATACCTATTTATATAAGGACTACACCGAATAGCAGTAGAAAAACCCCTCGGCAGGTTTTTCCTAGGAGTTATTTCGCTGTTGACGAACTGTCAGCACCTAAAAATGGACTCACTCTAACAGTTCATGAAATAACACATTTATTAATACAAATTTGTGACAATTTGTGGGGTTTCCTGTGTCTGGATTAGAATCTAACTGCAAAAAAAAGCACACTTAAACTATGTAGTGATAATAGTAATAATACAAAGCATAGGTGCACATGATAAAGCAAAAGCAGCTTACAAAGAATATTAATACTACAAAACCTAAGCACCCGCCCTAAAGCAAAAGAACTAACAAAGAATAAGTAAAGATTTTAAAGTACTATAGAGCAAAAGTAAAATTAGTGTTATGTGTATAAAGCAATTGCTCACCCCAAGGTGTCCTGAGAAGGTGGAGGCTGAAAAGGTAGCCCATTGGTTACCTCTGCAGCGTTGATGGAATTTCTCCCCAATTTTTGCTTATGTCAAATCTCTTTTTATACCTTTTTCTTTAGGCAGTTTTTGAGTGGCTATAATTAATAAACTAATTTTGGGGTGATAGACAGATGAAACAAACCTAAGGATCCAGTCAGCCAGGATGGCAGCCAGGTTGTGTTATCTCCATATCACTCCTTTCTTCATTTCAATCCTTTTAACAGTTTCTGGGAATATCTCCCCAGGTGAGGGGGTTTTTTCCAGGAAACCATCAGGAGGGTTTTCTTCCTCTTTTGTGTGGCCTTATTTATCACCTTACACTCTGTAACAGCGGTGCATGTGTGCTGCTGGCTCAGAGGTCTGTAGGACATGCTTCTACCACTTGCATTTGAAGCTGACTCTGGGGCCAAGACAAACAATAAGGGGCCTCAGGCAGTTTTAAGGGAACACAGTTCTTGAAGCAGCTGAAAGCTTTTTTCTTTTAATGTGGAAAATGTTGTACAAACAACGAGCGACATTTCTTATACAGTTGCTCCTGTGGCAATGTGATGTCCTAGGATGGTTTGGAAGAGGAGCTGTGAAAGGCAAGGGACTGACCTGTGCTCTTTCTTCACCTTTTCTTGCCAGAAACATAGCATTGCTTTGCATCTCTGTGAATATTTAATACATAGGATGCTTCAGGTCAGAGAGTTCTTTTTCATTTTCATCTTGTTAGCTGAATCCTGCTTAATGAGTCTTTCAGCAACCAGTGCTTTCAATAGATGCAGGCAAAAAAAATTTCAGGAAAGAAACCCTCATCCACTACAGCCATGCAAGCAGGTACAAGAGGGAGAAGAGGACAACAAGCATGCAAAACACAGCATCAGATAAATGGGGAGGCCATACAGAAAGGTGAAACTGGAATTGGGCTGTATGGGCTTCCTTGGGGAGGGATGGAGTGAACAGCGGGTATGGGAGGTACTGCAGAAATGGGGACAGAAGGGCTGCTGTGAGAGGAGATCTCCAAAAATCAGATCATCAGGGAACAAATCAGTCTTCTACAGTAACAGAGTAAAAAGAAAATCTATTTTAAAAAGGAGAGCCAAAATGCTGGGTGCTTAACCTAGCAAAACAAAGGCTAGGATTGGGCTTGACAGCTCTCTATAAATACACCAGGGAATAAATACCAGAGAAGAAGAGTAGCTATTTAAAGCACAACATTGGCACAAGAACAAATAGGGATAAACTGACCATAAATAAATTTAGGACGAAAATTAGATGGTTTCTAATCCTGAGAAAAGGGCAGTTCTGGAAGAACTTCAGAGGCTGCGCAGAGCGAGATGAAGAACAACCACAGAGTATTTACAGCAGAGCCTGACCAGTGTACATACAGTGAAGCAAATGATGTGCCAGGATGCCACAGGGGGTGGTTCCTGATGGTCCTTAGAGGAGGCTGCATCTATGGTTCCACCATGTTCACAAGGCAACAGCAGGGGCAGGGATCACCATACACTGTTTTTATAACCAATTTCTAGTTGTCCAGCCTGCCCTCAGAAAGGTACTGTAGAAGACACAGCAGTGTCAAGAGCACTTCATCTCCCAAAGGTGCTTGGTTGTTCTTTGTTGGCACCCAGTTTCCATCTACCTTGGGTGCTCTCAGCAGAAAGAAAGGCAGACTTCAGCCTCTTGCTATGAGTTTGATAAAGTGTTTGGTCCCAGGCAGAATGCAGATGATATCAGAGTGCTGAAACTCGCAAAGCTAGAGGGATAACTAAACCTCAGGGAACATGTGCTATCTCCACATCATCTCATCCTGGAGAGTGCAGAGAGTGGAGTGAGAGCTAAAGACCAGCAGTCCCAGCCAGCCAGGGGCTCTCCCTATGGCCAAGTGGCAGAGGGACACAGAAGCTGGCATGGCAGCCCAGGGCAGCTGTGAGCCCTCAGTAAGGAACTGAAAGGCACATGGCATTGTCTGCACCTTGATTCCCTCTGTGAGCTGCAAGGAGCCCTGTGTCTGCCAAAGCAGCCAGCCTATAGCCACAGGTAATGCTTGACATCCCGTCTCCTTTCTCTACTGCTCACTAAACATCCCCTACTGCATTTCTTTCTCCCTGGGGTGAAGATATTTTGAGAAACCCTTGTGACTATGCAGCCTGACTCACCAATGAAGGTGCAGCTGGGCCCACTGTTGTTGTCACCGTCTGGGGATGGTACCCCTCTGCAGAGGCTGTGACAGTGTAAGTGCCAGGCAGCAGCAGCCGGAAATAATCCCCCATATCACCTGGAACACAAGGCAGGAAGAGAAAGCACTCAGGATGTTCAGGGAGCAAAGCAAAAGACATTCCAGTTGTTCTTGCTGAGGTACTTCCTCTAGGATGTGTAGCCTTCAAAACCCAGAATTTTATTTTTTTTTCCTAATCTGCTGGCTACTGCAAGGCTGGATTCACTTCGGTACACTGCAAGTGATGTCTCATTACTGCCAAGGAGGACAGATCAGTCTGCAGGTAAATGCCAAGTGAAAGGGGACTGTGCAGCAGCATTGGCTGTGTCTGTGTAGGGAGCCTGTAAATCTGAGCGCTCACCAGTCAGATGACAGCAGACCTAAGGGCAATCACAGCTCCAGTCTGACTCCTTATGCATAACACAATCTCTAATCCCTGTCACACACAGTTTTGCCACATTTGGGTTAGCAGGGTTTTAGCTGCTCATCAGCTCAGCTGCTCCCTGATTCTGCCTGCATAAGAAAGCCCCAGGAGCACTTTGACGGACCATGTACTGGTGTAATATGTGTGGCCAGCATGGTTTGCTTCCCAAAGACACAAGCTGTGAGAAACATGCCTGTGCATCCTTGACCAGAGAGGGCTTAGGAAAGCCTAGGGAAGAAAGAGGCAAGAACAGGGACAGGAGACAACCAACAGTGAGGTAGCACCACATTATGGATCACTTTGACAACTGGAGTATAATCCCATCTATGGAACTAGATGGGTATTGCAAATTGCCTCAGAGTGGATCAGGAAGCGCATCTTCACTGTGAAGGTGGTACAGCCCTGGCACAGAACAGCAGAAAGGCTGTGAAATCATCATCCTTGGTGTCAGTGAGAATTGGCCAGAGAGAGCAATGGCTAATCAGAGCCAATGTTGGGGACAATACTGCTCCAAGAAGGTGGCTGGACAGGAGACCCCAGAAGGCCCTTGGCAGCCAGCTCTTCTGTGGTTCTGTGATTTCTTCCACACTCCCCTTCCTATGCAGGTTGGCATAAGTGCCAAATATTAGAGTGTTACTGAGTCACAGATCTGTGGCCGGGAGGAGTTTTGATTATTTTGTAGTCTGACCTCTGAAGAGCTGTAATATCGGCTATTTTCTGCAGCCAGTCTGTAATGTTTGGTCTGCTTGGAGGAGGGTGTTCGTGAAAAGGAGGTTAAATTTGGACAGCAAAGGAGAAACAACCACAGCTTGGATAAGCTACAGTGGCACTTCATTCTCAGTCTAAACTTGTCAGCTTGAACTTTCAGTCTTTTATCTTATTCTGCTGTCATAATATTTCCTATCCATTGTTTCAGCTCTTTGTATATAGTTAGATGCTTGAGTAGATTATCTCCTCAAATTGTCTCAGATAAAATAGGAGCTGAGTTTCTGAAGTCCTTTACCATAAGGTTTGCATTCCAGTTCTTGCCTCTGTTTTCCCTAGGCTTTCCTAAGCCCTTTCTGGTCAAGGATACACAGACATATTTTTCACAGCTAGTGTCTTTGGGAAACAAACCATGCTGGCCACGCATATTATAGCCTCACCTGCTAACCTCCACCCACATATCCAGATAGCCTCCAAGAGGCTATATTTAAAAGAGACAGCACACAAGGGGACCAGCAACCCACCAGAGGTGATGTCATGGCTGATTCCCTGGACGGAAATCACTGCTCCTGCAATGCCGTTGTTGTTCTCGTCTGACACCAACCCTTTGATGCCCTGGTGAACCTGTAGGGAGGGAGACAGACTGATGGGTCAAGGGCCCTCCTTTGCTCAAGAGGGTATTGCATCCACTCCTAGTGCCTACTGGTCCCCTATCACCAGGGCCCACGGGGACCTGCAGGAAAGGTGAAGGTCTCAGGACTGCCCCCTTACCTCTTCAATGAAAGCAACAAGGGCCTCTCGGTTGGCCATCCACTGCCGCTCCAGGTCCTCCTCGGGGGGAAACTTGTTGCAGCTCAGCTCCAGGGTGATTTCAAAGCAGTTGGTGTAGAGGTAATTGAAGTCCTGCATGCCTGAAAGAGAAGAAAAGCCTGTGGCCAGGGCAAGGCCCCCTTTCCTCCTCATTCCCATGTCCCAGTCATCCTGGCCCCTGTCTTTCTTCAACTGGAACCATCCCACTCTACTTTACGCCACAGGAGCAACCTCTTCTTTCCATGACAGTGTGACTAGAGCCCCCCCCCCCCCCATCCAGCTCTCCCCCTGTGGCTGCCCAACTCTCTCTTTCAGCTGCATCATTCACCACTCTGCCTTCAGAAGATCAGGGAGGTTGGGTACCACAGGTGCCTCTGTCCAGTTCCTCTTCAATCTTCTTTCTAGCCTAAAGTGTTGATTTTTCAGTTTCCTCACTGTGCCTTTTTTAATCAGATTTTTCAGGAACCAGCAGTTACAAGAGATGTCTTCACTTTGGTCAGTTGTGGGTTTTGATGGAGTTATGCTGTAGTATTTTCAAATACACTAACAGATTAATGCTTCCTTTGTCCAGCAGCACACAGCAGGTCTCTGCAGACGTTGATTATTTCTTTAGTTCTTTCTCAAGCCACTTCCAGTATTCCCAAGCCATTTCCTGGTCTGAGATGATGACACCAGAATGGTGTCTAGTAATGGGCACAGTGCTATTGCCACACTCCTTCCCCAACACATTCTATCCTGAGGTTTGTTGCCTATCCCTTCACCTCTCTTCAGGTCAACACTTTGCTGTGGGTGGTGCTCACCTGCCCAGCTCTTACCTTTGCTGAGCGAGTACCAGGATGCCCCATTCGTGATGCCATCGGCAAAGTAGTCCCCGCAGTTCCAGCCACGGTGCATCCAGCTGTGGGCGTACGAGTAGGTCTTGGCCAGCTAGAAGGGAGAGCAGCCAGTGGTCACTGCTCCAGCCCCGTGTGGCTGGGGAACCTGCCTGGCTCTGGACAAAACATGCTCCCTCCTGCACAGGCTTCACTGAGGAGCGTGGGAGGGAAGTCAGACAGGAGACAGCTCTTGCATTTTACTGCCACGAAATACAACACAAGGTGTCCAGGACCTCTACAAAATGTAGGCAGAGGAGGAGCAGTATTCTGGTAAGCTGGAAGCTTGCTTATGTCACACGTGGCTTCTGCCCTGCTCCCACTGAGAAGAGGGGGAATAGAGTGCACTGGGCCCACGAAGGGACACTCAGCCCCATTGATGCTGGGCCCCACACAGCAAACAGCACTAACAGGGGGAGAAGACAGGCGAAGAAAACTAACCAGTATCAGTCCTGATGCAAATACCATATAAATCAGGGGAATTTGGATTAGGAAAGAGTTTGGACAACTTCTTGTTCTAGCAAACACTTCTTTATTGCCCTTATTACGATTACTGCTTATTTTTAGACACGAAGGCAGAGCTAAAACTGGGCTGCTGCATCCAAAGCCAGTCCTTTGCATAGGACACAGTTTAAGAGAGACTGACATTTTCATTTTCTAATGCAAACTCTATATCCTTGTATTATGGTGTAATCTCATTCTTTCAGCAAGAAAACAGTTACTTCTCTACATTTCTGACTTCTGAGGCTATGTGGGTATCATTAGCCAACGCCCCAGACTGCAGTCTCTTTACATCTGGATCTGAGCACAGTTGTGATCCCAGGAGGTCCTGGCAAGCCCCTGCATAGATTCTGCTTCCAGAGAATGCGGAACTCCAACTCAGACCTATTTTTCTCATTAACTGTTCTGACGCAGACTTGCTTTTTTCTTGTGCTGGGTATTTCCTAATGGAAACAGTGACTGAAGGCATTGTTTTCTGGGATAATGGAGGAAAAACCACAGGCTGCAGCTAGTGCTAACAGGATCAGCAGCACAGACTGATGCATGTCCTGATGTCTGCTTATGCTCCTGGTACTCTTGCTGTCTGTTGTATTTCTTGTTCTTCACCACCTGCAAGGCCCTGCTGGGCGCTCACCCTCCTTATCCTGCTCTCAGCAGATCCCCAGCCAGACCCTGCAACGTCTCTAGGAAAAAAATCCTATGCATGCTACGATGGAGTGGCCAAGCTGGGGGCAGGCTCCAGCTCTGGAAGAGCAGGTTGGTATTGAAGACATCAGTGGTACTCGGGTTATGGGGAACCCAAGCACAGCACAGACAAGGAAGGTGCTCCTGAGGGTTAAAACTGGCCTGTCCTTTTAGTGGGACCGGCTCACAGTGGGACTGCCCTGAACCTGGCTCACGAGCTGATGGCTGGCAGAAATGCTGGAGTCTGCTAATGGTTCATTCCAACACGTTTCTTGGCTCAGCTCCCGCATGACGCAGCGACCAGAGCCTCCTATCCAGCTCCCACACACTGCACCCTGCCAGGGAATGCCCTCACGTGGTTGTGCTCACCTTCTGAAACAACTTGTCATCAGGGGTAGGTGTGTTGACCGTGCGCCGGTGGCTCCTGAACCGCTGATCTTGAGACTTGTCATAGGGGTAATTTGCTACCACTGCTCCACCGTGCAGATTGGCTGAGAGCACAAAGTTGTAGCTGCTGATCCACTGGATCACAGCCAATGTCTCTGGCTCCACCTGTGAGGAGAAGAGAGAAGAGCTCAGCTACCTCTGGGCCAGCTGCTGCTCCATGCTGGGCTGAGGTGTGATCGGTCATGTCAGACCCTGTCCTGCAATGTGTCTGCTGCAGCCCTTGCAGCTTCCTCTGTTCTCCACCACCTGCCCTGATACACAGAGCAGGCTCCTCCTGTGCATATCCTGCAACAGCTGTCCCAGAACAACCCCAAAACCTGAGACACAGGCATTAGCTAGCATGTGCTGTGATGCCAGCCCCTCCTCCTGGTAGAGGTGCAAGCTGTGATATAGGACCAGGATTACATCATTTCTCTGCATGCAGAAGGCTTAGAGAAGGAGTCAAGCACCATGCAAGCCAAATGACAGTGTATTTGCTTGCATGCTGAGACACTCTAAAAGCTCTCACAGCTTCCCAGACTAGTACCTGGCTTTTCCAGTTGTCAGGCAGTGGGATGTGGTGATTTGGCCCGCTGATTTCCCTGCTGTAGTACATGAGTGTGTTGAGGTCAGGGAAGTTGCGGTTCAAGTCCACTCCATTGGCATTGTTCCTCCCTGTCAAGTACCCGTTGCTGTCTGGGCCCTGCAGGGCAAAGGTGCATCACAGGGGTGAGTACAGGGTGGGTGCAGCCAGGTTGGGTGTTAGAAAGGCAGGGACTGGCCCCTGCAACAGCACTTCAGTGCCTTTGAGTCACAACCCATCTTATTGCTGGCAGGACAATAAAGAATATTGGTACTGCCAGGCAAAGTCAGTAACAATATCTTCATTTTCCAGGGTGACAGAGACAAATAAACAATTTGCCTTAACTGAAAGAGCCATGGATATCTCCCTGAAGTCTAGCAGTACAAAGAAACTGGTGAAGATTTGTGGGAGGACTAGGGGGCTTACTCCTCCCCCATCTCTCATGTCCCTGCCTGCTCATCAGCTGCCAGTTCCCTAGTCTGGGGCAGGGGATTTGCAGTGGCCCTCCTGTGACAAATAACTTCTAAGGAGAGTAAGATAGTGTAGGAAGTTTCCTCCAATCAGCTTCCAAGGTCACCTGTGGCAGGACACACAGTGCAAGCCCTTGGCATGGGAGGTGAGAAGCCGCGACACCAGCTGAGGGGACAAATTTGGCAGGGCATGAAGAGGAAGCATGCCCGCTCCTCCTAACTGTGGTGAAGGGGATCCCACAGGGATTGGAAGGGTTTTCTGCCCCTACCCAGCTGGAGAAAGCAATCGCTGCCTGGTACCTGCTTGGCAGCCACTTCGTACCCGTCGGGGTTCATGGAGGGCATGATGTGGATGCGCGTGTCATGGATGAGGCGGGTGATCCGCTCGTTTCCCCGGCGGTACTCCTCGCACAGGAACTCAGAGAGCTGCAGCAGCAGCTCACGGCCCAGCACCTCATTCCCATGCATGTTTCCAACATACTTGAACTCTGGCTCCACTGGAGAGAGCAAGAGAGTGACAACATCAGCCAGTGCTGGGACAGGGGGGAAGAGCAAATTCCTACCACAGGGAACCCCAGGCAGACACCCAGTAAATGGTGTGAAATTACCCTTTCCCTTGGAAAATGCAAACCTCAGCGAGGGAGAGTGGCACAATTCTCATATGGGCTCCCCTCTGTTTTGCCACAGCACTCCTGGGAGCAGTTCAGGCTCCTCACCAGGTTGGTTTGGGCCTTTGGACCACACAAGAGGAGTATTTGCAGGTGGTTTCATCTTAGACTAGGGAGAGACAGCACGGAGGGACCAGGGAGCATTGGCAGGATTGCTGCCACCCTGAGCCCTGGGGTGCCAGGGCCTCACAGCAATATTGTGGGTGGCAGTGGAGGGGACAGGCCATTTCTCCCACCTCTGCCCTTCCAAGTTTGCTCTCAGTGCCTCTCACCAGCATGGCACGTTCCTGACTACATACTTTAAGGAGTTTTTCATTACTTGTCAGGATAATACCAATTCCTGGCTTGGGGTGAGATGTGCTCTTTCACTGGAAGAGCAGAGTCACCTCTGACTGCTGTCATCAGCCTTGACTCCCGTGCTGATGGGAGGCAGCAGTGGTTTCCTCTCTCCCTCCCCTTTACCTACCTCCAAGGTTGAGGTTTAGGGCCTTCCTCACCCTCAAGGGACAAGAACCTGGAGAAAGCCTCAGCAGCTGAGTTGAATATGAATCAAACTGTCCCTCAGGCAGCTCCAGTAGGAGCAAAACAGTCTCTTACCACCGACTTTTCTAAAATAAGGTCTCAAAATACAGACTTGGAGACCACAGACGCCCAGAGCAGGACTTGCTGCTTTGCTGAAGGAGAGGTAGGACACATGAGGGATGGGTTATGCTTTCCCAGAGGGTCTTTTTAAAGCAGTTACTTGTGGGAAAATAAAATGTCAAATTGAAGGCTAGAGTCAGCACTGGTAGGATGAGAGACACCAGGGGAAGTCATTTATAAAGGGAGCCTGACTGTCACATGGAAGGGTCAGGAAATAAAAAGGGTGTTGGCTTGCCAGAGCTCGAGATGCCCATTGAACGGTGAGTTTTCTGGCCACCAGCAGGGATCAGACTTGCAGTGGCAGAATGCAGCCTTGCTGCCACGTATGGTGTCCATGAGGATCCCTGGGGTACAAGGCATCGCAGCTCCACATTGGGAGCTGCTGCTTGCAAAAGCCCCTGCACCTTTGCTGCACAGGGAGGAGACACCACATCCAAATGAAACATCTAATTTTGACTAAAGATTTTGCTTTTGACGAATCTTTTGATTGCTGTGTCTCAGCGCAAGATACCAGAAGTGGGCAACATATTTTGACCTTGTTAGATTTCAGGGACATGAGAACTGATTTAATTAGATAATTCAGTTACTAAAAATATAGAAAAATCCTGGGCATATGTGCAGCCTTTAAAAAAATAGTCTCAGCAGGGATTCTCTGTTTTGTTTGAGTCTGCGGCAGGACTTGTCAGCCTTTTTCAGTATGCAAATGGCTAATCTTTATGCACATGGATACACAAGCCCTAATTAGTGCATGTAAACCCAGTGACTCTAGGCTTACTTTTTGGAGTTACTTTCCATGTCCTTTAAGGAAATCCACAGTTTCCCAAATTCCTTGTGCTACAAGCTGAAAGTGACAGCCTGAGGGTGGCCAGGTTCATGCTGCCTGCCTGGGGCAGGGGAGATCTGAATCTGGGCCTTTTCAGCTGCTCTCTTGTGGTTCTGCAAGTGTAAAATCCAGTGGTGCATTTCCAGTGCCCTTTGCCCACTCCTTGCGTTGAATCAGCCCTTGATGCACTGTAGAGGTGCCCCAGGTGTCCTCAGCAGGTTTCCCTGTCAGGAAGCCAAACGGGGCTGTCGTAGAGGTGGTCAGGGTGGGAAGTCTCCCATCTCAACTCCTGGTACCTCTGAAGATGATACTCTGGGCCACAGGAGTGGAGCAGCATGCCCCCAGTGCAGTGTGTCCTTGGGCAAGCTGCTGCTAGGCATGGGGTGCTGTGGGGTTTGTGGGGGCTGCTCCACTGAGGGAGGTACAGGTTCAGGTTCCGCTCACCCCTGCAGCACTGCTGGCAGTTTTCCACGTGACTAATCTGCTTGGACTTGTTGGCCCCTGCATTTAACCACATCAACCAGGATTTGAAAAGGCAAAAGATCATGTAAAAAGTAGGCAGAGCTCTATCCTTATCTGCAGCCCAGGGGCACCAGGCAGGGATGAAAGGGAGTCCTGTGTGCAGCCACCCAGCCTGGAGACCTAGCTGGTCCCCTCAGCCACCTGGGGCACTTAGCTGTCAGCAAGGTCTAGCTAGGCAGTGTCTCCATGCTACAGCCAGCAGCTCAAGGGGCCATTGCTGCCAAGGTTCCACAGGGCCACGTGGCAGCAGGTGGAGATCCCCGAGAACAGGCTGTCACAGGGGCTGCACAGCCCACGGGGCTGGCAGGGCTCTGGGAGCCCAGTGCCTACTCTGTCCTCCTGGCTTTGCGGTCTGGAGGAGGAAAGCACGAACTGTTCCCTGCCAATACCCAGCAGCAAAGGGCAGAGGGTGGGTGCTGCCTCTCCTTGCCTGAGCAACACTGTTTTGGGAGGGAGAGGGTGGCAGGGAAGGTCGGGTGCTGGGATAGACTCGCTTGGTTTCTCGCATTAGCTTGCGCTGAAAACTCAGCGCTCCGTCCAAAGTGCGCGCCCGGGCTGGGCTGCAGCTGCAGCTCACGCAAGCACAGTGCAGGCGTGCGGGCTGGGCGTGCGCGCCCCTGGGCTGGCTGCGGGGTCTCCGCTGGAGACAGCACTGCCCGACACCTGGGCGCGGCCAGGAGTCCTGCCTGGACAGGGAGATACCCCCCACCCTTTGCCCCAGCAGTGCCGCGTGGCAGGGAGCGTGGCAGCGAAGCCCGTCCTCTCGGAGCCGCTGTCCCCATCCCCCCGTACTTACGGGGCTCGTGCACGCCCGGGGAGTCGCTGAACTCCAGCACGTAGAGGTGTCGGCCCTCGACACTGCGGCCGATGCTGTAGATGCGGGTGACGTAGGGGCACTGGCTCTGCACGCGGAACAGGGCCTGCACCAGCTCCTCGTAGCGATGGTGGAGGAAGCTGAGGGCGGCCGCCCCCTCGAGCAGGAGCAGGGCTCCCACCAGGGGCCGCAGCCACCGCGCCATCCTCCCGCGGCGCTGGGCGCCCGGACCAGCTCCCAGCCCCGGCTCCCTCCCAGCCGTGAGCTTAAAGTGCAAACTCCAACCAGCTTTTTCCAGCTGCCGAATGCCAGCCCCCTGCACCTGCGGGCGGGGGGCGGCGGGAGCGGGGCGCGCCGGGGCCCCGCGGCGCAGGAATGCTCCCCCCGCCTGCCTGCCCGTTCTTAGCCGGGGAAGAAGTTTCCCCCCGCTCCAGCTCACTTATTAACTGGACAGCAAACAGGCCCCCGCAGCCACTGGCTGTCACTGCAGAAGAAGCGCAGGGCTGGAAAACTGGCTGCGGAGGGCGTCGGGGCTGCCAAGCGCACGGGGAGCGGCGGGCGGGGGAGAGGAGAGGGGGGCGGCGGGCGGGGGGATGCCGTCGCCGAGTCCTCTCGTGGGGCAAGAGCCGAGCGGGGTGGCGATGGCGCCAGGGCGGCCTCACTGGCCGCACGATTCCCGCAGCCCTGCCCGGCGCGGGCAGCTCCCGCAGCTCCTCCCCGGGGTCCGTCCCCGGCTCCGCGCCGCGCCTCCTCTCCTGCCCCATCTCCTGAGGAAGCGGAGGAGACACCGCCGCGAGCTCCGCGGCTCAGTCCGATCCTCTGCCCCAGTCCCGCTCACCCGGCTGCTCCCGGGATAAACAGGCAGGGACCGCATCGCCCTCCGCACAGCCACCAGCCCAAACTGCCGAGCTAGGACGGGGCGGGGGGAGGACAGAGCAACATGGGATGTGATGCAGGAGTTGTCTGCTGAGCAGACAGCACGGAGAGATCCACTCGGTGGTCTGGTATCGCCCCACTCTGCTCTGGGAGTGGGCATGGGAAAGAACTCCAGTAGGTGCTGAAAAGCAGGAGATTGCTCAATGGCATAAAGACAGATGAAAATGCCCTGCTGTCTGCTAACATAGAGTTACAAACTGTTTCTGGGTATGGGGGAAGCTGATTCCTCTCTACCCCTCTGCCACCCTTGTCCCAGTGGCTAACAGACACCTCAGGGTGCCTGTGCTCTGCCTGCAGACAGCGCAGTTGCGGGAGGCAACTTTGCTTTGCAGCCTTGCCCCACGAGGCTGAAACTCCAGCAGCTTAGCAGCTCTGACAGAGATCTTCATTAGGACAGCCCTGACACAGAGCCCAAATACGAGCACAAACAGCCAAAAAATTTACCATCACAGCTGGACAGGCCATGAGAAAGGTTCCCTTTGGTAACATGCTATTCTGCTCTGTGCAGGCCATGCTGGAAAGGAGCTCATCCTGCCATTAGCAATGGGCTTCTCAGTGCCATGCCAAACATTTGCCTTCCCTTCAACGTTGAGGGAATCCATACAGCATTGCTCCTAACTCTGTGTCTGCTCTAGCTGCCTTTTCCCCCAGCAAAGCAACCTCTACCAGTGCTGCCCAGACCACTGCTTTCCTACCTGTTCTCCACATCAGCTTGTGCTGCCAACTGGCTTTCTACCTCAGTTTTCCAGGAAGAGCAGTGGTAAAACCAGGGAATCCCTGTTGATAGCCTCTAATGCAAACAGTACAGGCTGGTGGGCAAAGCACATGGTTTGCCTGCTCATGGCTTGGCTTACTAAGACTTTCCAACTTCGACTTTCTTCTGCCCCAGCCCTACTATATTTTCAAATATATATATATATATATATACTTTGCATATATATATATATGTGTGTATATATATATATATACACCTATATCTTTTCCTATATACTATATATATACTATACTTTCCCTCCTTATCCCTGTGCCTTCTTGGTCTTCTGCTCCATCTGCACAGGTTCCCTCCTCCTGCTGTTTTTGAAAAAGTAACCTTTTGAAGACATGACCAGAAAAAGAAAAAATATTATACGTATATAAAGACAGCAGTAACCATATTAATACCTTCTCCTAGTTAAGCTTCATCCCACCACATCCCTGCTTGTCAGCCAGTCTGAAAGCATCACAGATTCAGGAGCAGGAATGGCATTGCACCCAGCTGTAGCTGAGTAACAGGAATCAGGGCTGGAGGTGACAACTTCTCCCAGCACATGTAAGAAGTGAAGACAAAGTAGCTGAAGCTGTGGCATGGGCATGGTGAGCATGGGTGTGGTAGGACAGCTCTTATCTCTACAGCAAGCCACATCTGGTAGTATTTTGCAGAACTGGCAGCCCACATAGCAGCGGGAAATGCCCTCGCCTCCTTCACGTCCCTGCTCCCAGGCCTGCTGGGTTCCCATGGAGCTGCTCCTTTCCCAGCCTTCAGCAATGAAGGCAATTGGAAAGACCTGGGCGGCTTTCCAGCACTAGCCAGTGTTACTTGGCAGCCAGAGAGTGCTAGGCAGGGCTATAGTAAAATAGCACAAGCCCCATGTTTGGTCTGTTCCCCCCTCTGCTTTCGCTTCCCAGGCTGCTTTCCATAGCCTGGGACAGCAGTGGCAGAGTTGGAACTGTAGTGCTGCCAAGGGACACATGAGGAAAGGTCTCACTTTCCTATGGAGAAGAGCAACACTGATGTGAGAAACAGCACTTAAAAAAAAAAGAAATGCCAGACCATTAGAGCCTAAAAAGGAACCATGAGCAAAATCTTGGGTGGGCGGAGAACACATCTCACACACTACTAGGTCTGGAGATTTAGTCAGCCTTATCCATAGCATAGGGATGGGGGCAGCCTGTTATCAGGCAGCAGGTTTAAAGTAAACAAAAGGAAATAGTTTTGCACAGAAGACACATTGAAATTACCTTGTCGAAGCTGAAAGTGAAATGAATGCAAAAGAGGATAGGATGAATTCATAGGGAACAGGGGCACCCACAGCTATCAGATCCTGAAGCAATCATTTGATCACAGATTTCTTAATGGCTAGAAGAGAAGGCTTATGACATTTCCCCAACTATCCCCCTAGATCTTCACCCCCCCATGCAGCTGGGGACGAATGCCAAAGCACTGCCTGTTTGATCTGACCTAGCATGGCTCTTAACACACTCTAGGAAAACGACATCCTAATCCAGTGATAAATTTGGACATGTTTAAAAACAGTGATGAAAGCAGAAACAAACAATATAAGATGTTAGAAACAGTGCAGGAAGTAAATAAAGACTTAGTTTGGAAAGTATGGCTAATACATCTGGGATGGATCATACACCCCCCACCCAGATGTTCAAAAATGGAGAAACCTTGAGGCAGTAGGAGAGGAAGCTCTGTGCCACAGTGGCGAGAGTGAGAGGAATGTGAATGTGAGCCCTGTCCCCTCAAACACTGCATGGCTGGTGGTCACAGTCAGCAAGGAGCCGATGCCGATCCCTCCAGAGCCAGCCATGGCCACCCATCTGATGGGTTCATTTTAGTTCTGGCCATATTGTTACCAGAGGAAGAATGGAAAATCTGAGGAAAGTTCAAGCTAATAGCCATAAGAATGAGCAAACTGTGGAGAGTTCATGCTGAAAGAAAAATAAAGACCATGGCAAGCATGTTTGCCTTGGCAGAGCTACAGCTGTGGCTGCACACGGAGACACGCAGCCCTGTGAACAAGGGGCACAGGCCCACCATCCTTCACCTGTTTGGGGGGGGGGGGGGGGGGGGGCTGCAGTGCCAGCATGATGCCAGTGGTGCCGCCTGGGGGAGGGAAAGGGAAAATGAGGACAGAGGACTGCATCCATCTAGTTAGCAGCAGGGGAGAACAAGCTGCTTTGAGGAGGTCAGGGTGAAGCTAAAGCAAGGAAAGATGGGGTTTGGCTACTAGCCGCCTTCCTGGGAGTGAGGCCACCCATGTGAGGTGCCCAGAGTCTGGGAAAGACCACAGTGCCTTTCCCTACCAGGAGGGGATGCTACCATCCACCACGAACTTCAGATCTGACCCAGAAGAACATCAAGGAACTGACAAGAGAGGAAATCGCATCTCAGGATTTTTCCATGTTTAGTGCCAGAAGCTCCATTCCACTACTGGCAGACTCCTATCTTCTGGAAAAGAGCACAAAAACTTTTCTGGCATAAGTTCAGAAGTCTTTATTATGATAAGCATACAGAGACGTGTGTGCATCAAAACAAAGATCCATTTCTTCAGGGCTGGGCCACAGAAAGAAAGCACATGGCCTGGGTGGCAGGAACTGTTGTCCTCAGCGTGTCCCCCCAGCCCCTCCTAAACAGTCTGTAGAGCCTGTGACGAAGCTGGCAGCCCTGCAGAGCCTGCACATCCTTCCTGGCACAGAGCATGGGAAGAATTGGGGTGGAGAAGGAAGGGGTACACATCCGGCCCAGAGTTGCTCTTGGAGAAGCTGAAGAGACCTGGCCAGCCCAGACACTTCAAATCGGGCTCCCACTGCAGAGGTGATGGCCCCACTTCTGAGAGCTTCCTTTCAAGTGGAGGCTCCCCTGTGCTTTGCTGTAGGGCCAGAGAAGTCAGCTGTAGCCTGTGCACAGAGGAGAGGTAGCTTTATCAGGGAGGAGAGCGAAAGGTACTTAGAGCCTGTGGTGAGGACCAGTTGTTTTCTGCAAGAGGTGAGTGTGCTGCAGGCACCCAGGCTCTCTCCTCTGAGAAGTTCCGGTGGCTTTGCCTCACACCTGACACTTGGGTGAACATGGGAGAGCTCATAGAAGTTATCAGTCCCAGCAAGACCACACTGCTCCTGCACTATCCAAAGCTATGAAATCCCCCTGCAAGGAACCTTCCCAAAAATGGACCTATCAACATTTGAACCCCAAACAGAGACATCTCACCTTGCTGCAGCACATCTCAGGGCTTCCTAGGAGCCCAGGAGAGCTCTCTCTTCTAGGAGAGACCAAGGTCTGGAATCTTGGCAGCTCAGTAGTGTTGAATAGTGAATAAATATTTGCTAGATAAGAACATGTGGTGTTAAAAGATGCTTTACCCCAGAAAAGCAAAACAGTACAGCAGCCAGTGGCCAGATATTAAAGCCAGAAGCTGTCAAATTAGAAATAAGGCACAAATAATTATCAGTGAGGCAGATCAACTGTATTAACAAGAGAAGTGATGCATTTTTACTGGCATATTTGGACATTCCCTCCACTACCATTAATGGTCTTCCTGCACACATTGGGTGTCTCTGGAACATTTGAGCTGAATACAGCTGGGTCAGATACAACACAGAAGCAAAGAAATTAATATTCATTAAACTTGAACTCTTTGACCAAGGATTTTGAGTAGCCTCCATGAATAAAGTCCTGCAATAACAGGAGAAATAGAGAGAAAAAAAAGTCATAGGCTGTTCTGTGAAGGTTCACATACAGGCAGTGATATTCAAGGGTCCCACCTTGACAGGATGCCTTCAGTCAACCAGTTCCTGGAGTCTCAGTCTGCTCAAGTGATTTTTCAAATGGCATGTCTGTTGTCACCTTCAAAATTCTAATTTTGGAGAGATTGATTTATAAATGGGGTCTAACAGTCATGAGGTTTAAAAAAATGTAACATATTTTATATTTATCTTAGCTTGGGGCCCTTAGGTTACACTCAAGTCACATTTAAAGCTTTAAAAAAACCCCAAAACTGAAACCAAAAAGCAAGATAATTATGATGGGAGGGAGTAAGTGAAGACATCAGCTGCTCACCTGCCTCTAGAATCAGGAGCTAACAATATTAATACTATGGGATTCGCGATAAAGATACAAAACTTTGTGAAAGCTCTTCTCACAGGTTCTGTATTTGTCCTTTTCCTTTGGCATAAACCCTTAGCAGGGACCAGAAAATCAGACTGGCACAAGCTCTCTTTCCACACCAGCTTCCACATGGAGTTTCTGCATCAATTTCTGAAATGTCTTAATGGATCTGCCAGTTCCCATGGACACAACTCAGCAGCTGTCAGATCCCCAAAGAGATCTCAGGAGAGGAATTGCCATTTTGCAGGTTTCCATGCTGTTCATGGGGAGAAAGGATGCACCAGCACGTGTGGGGAACTTCTCCAGGGCATCTGCTTTGCTATGAGGACTCCGTGTGCAAGGGAGGTGGCACAAGATGAGGTGTGTTGCAATTGAGGCTGTCTGGGCAGCAGAAGCAGCTCTAATCACACGTGCAGGCCTTCCAGCCATGATCAAAAACTACCGTTAGTCTCTCATCTACCTATATTTGCTGATAAAAAACTGAAGGAAGACTGCATCTCTAGCTGAATCCAACATCTCAGTCTATTTGCAGATAAAACAAAAACTGGTGAATGGACTGACAGTGTGGTGAAGTGTCATTTTGGATTTAACTGGATAATCTGCTCGGGGGAATATTCTTTGTGTTTCAGTGGAGCTACGTGGAAGGCAAAATAGCTTATATTGGAGACAGTGATGCACAGTGTGGGACAGCAGCTGTTCTGGAATGCAATTACTGAGAGAAAAAAAAAAGTTGCAATAGTCCAACTGGACAAAACAGACTCAAAACTTTCTGTTGAGTGAGCAGATGTGGCCCTGAGATATATAAATGGGGAACATAGAGTATAGATCAAAACCAGAGGATATTACTTTATACACACTATTAATGACTCTACTATCACTCACTGATAAAAACTTTGGTGTTCCAATTTCAGAAAGATGTAAAACTTTTAAAAGAAATGGAGTCAAGAGCTACAAGTGAGGTCAGCACAGAGCACTTTACAGATTGAAGATCAACCTATTTAATATGATATAATGACAATTTGCAAGCACCAACAAGGAAAAAGGGATTTTTAATAGCAGAGTTACTCAGTCCTTTGGAAATGGGCAGAACAAGGTCCAACAGAAGCTGAAGTCAGCTACTTCAGAGCAAAAATAAGACAGAAATTTTTGGAAGAACAATGATCTGCCCAAAGATCACAGGGTAAGAACCTTACCTTTAGGTTCTTCAATATGTTAGGGCTTCTACTTCCAGGCATAAAGCAGAAAGAACTGCGGGATATTTTCATGCCTGAACTGTGCAGAAGAACAGGTTGGGAAAGCATGAAAACTCTGAGTTCTGTGTCTGTGCTTGCCTAAAGGAGAAGGTGTTGTTGGGTGTGCACATCCTGACCCCCTCCTCACTGCCTGCACCTTTGCTTGGGGAAACACGTGAAGGTACATGTTTACTATGCCTTTTTCTCTAAAATATCTGCTTTCTTTTGACCTCCGGCACTTACAGGCCATTAGGAGAAGAGATATCCAAGATTTTGTGGGAGGTAGACAGGCACCAGTGGTTTCTGAGTGTTTTTACAAAAATGGATTTCTGACTTACCTCTTTTTTTTTTTTTTTTCAGACCAAGGAATGGAAAAATGGAAGAAAGTGATTCATAAACCAAATCAATGGCATCATCCTAGTTATGTGCTAGAAGATGGGCCTCAGTATGTGCACTCACAAGCCCTGGGTCTTATGGCCATAGGATAAGCCTATTTCATCAGGGAAGGAAAGGCAAATTTTCACTAATTTTGCTGATGGAAAGAAAAGTTAACCAATGCTGGTTAACTGCTGCCAGCTGTCTATAAGAACATTACTTAATAAAACATCTTTCCTAGATTGGAGGCTGCTGTATTATCCAGTGACCCTGGATTGCTTCGGTGGGTCTATACCTACAGGCTTGCTGATAACACCAGAGTTCCTGTAGGCATAAGCACTCACTATTGGGCAAGGATCCTTGGCCAGTACAAGCTGTTCCTGCAAAAAACAGCAATGCCTGTCTGGGAACTCGTGTCTTGATGTACCCTAGGGGCATGGGAATGGCTCAGTGCGACAGTGAGCCAGCTTTGGTCCAGCAACATCAGAAAAATGTGGGAAAAAGGCTTCTTACCACCTGCAAAAGGAGCTGACAGCCACCACAGCCCAGATAAGGGCTGATGACCACCAGCACGTTCAGTTTCTTTGTCCTCATCCCTTCTTTTCCCAGAGTGGCATTTGGGAGCTTGACTCACCATCAGGTGCAAGTGCTGGACCCAGCTGTAGGGCTGCGAGAGCTCAGGGCCCAGGGAGGTGAGCAGAGGTGTGCTGGTGTGGAAAGGGCTCTTGGGAACAGCTTCAGCAGAAAAGGAGCAGGATCACCCTGTGTGTGACAGCTCCCAAGAGCTCAGTGGGATGTGTGACCCTGAGATTACCCTCGCAGGAGCACTGGCTCCCAAAGATTGCTGCCACTTTCCTCTTTATAATGCTGTGCACAAGGCAGAAACCAACAAGCAGCAAAGTTTCATTGAATGAAAGTACAACCCATTCAAGGAGGGGACACCAGCTTGTCTGTCCTTGGCAGAGAAAGGTGGCGAGCCTGATGTCCCAACATCTCTCAGTGCAAATGTGAGTCAGAAGAAATAAATGCCCTTGTTGTACAGTCAGTAGCTTCAGTGAGAGGAACTCTGCAGTACAGGCTGCTCTGCTGGGGTCTCCTAGCCCTGAGCAGCCAGGGTGACATGGCCCCTCTCCTCTCCAGGTTCTTCCTAAACAACCCCCTTCTGCAGGCACTTGGGCTTGTGAAAGAGAAGCCAGGCAAACAGGAGCACAGACACCAGCACAAGGGAGCACAGCACCATCAGCCCTATGTAGCTGCCGTGAGAGAGAGGGGGCACAGCTGGCTCCTCTGCAGGGATCATGTTGGTCAGGTTCAGCATGTAGCCCAGGGTCCAACCTGCATCACTGCTACCAATCTGAAACAGAAGAGGAGCAGAATCAGCACTGGGAGGTGCAGGGGCTGCTTGTGGCATTGCTGGGGCAGTCACCCTCCTGGGGATGAAGGGCCGGGCTGTGCAGTAGGGGTGTGTAGAGTAGAGCCCTCCCCACCACGATACAAACCTTTCCAAGGAAGTGGATCCTTTGCCAGTTATCTTCGGTGAATTCATAGCCATTTTCCAGGAGAGAGAGGATGTAGGCTCCAGAGAAGCAATATTCACTCAGGTACTTTTCTTTGATGTTTTGATACATTGTCTTCACCTAGGGAAGGAGGCAATCACTAGGCTGTTAAACACACCTTCCCACTGCTCCAGCTTGTGCCTGAGCATCCACTATAGGTGCTGGGGGAATCTTTCCCATCTTGCTTTGGAAATTAACCCCAGCCATTTATCCTACATAAAAGTATCAGCAGCCATAGTCTACCACAACAAGCGCTGCTCACCTCTTGCCAAGGCCGGGCACAGAAGCTCTCAATGGTTCTGGTCACTTTGTTCAGGGGAACAGGGCTTGCTTCACCGGTCAGGTTCAAAAAGTTCATCACAAAATAGAAAGCAGAAAAAGCCTGAAGGAGAAAGATTGTTTTAATCTGACTGAGCCTCAGCATAAGCAGAACAGCAGAAATCCCATTAAAAAAAATGAGTTTGTTTACAGACAGAGAAGCATAAGAAGCAACATCACACACATAAGAGCAGGGATATCTTCAAGAGTGATGTCATTTTGAGACATACTCCTCAGAACAGCTGAGAGGTGGAGGTAGGAATTATGGTATCCTGAAGAGCTTCTGTAAGCTCTCTCCTTAACATGTGCCAGTGGCATACAGTGAATGCTGATTGCCATCACAACTGTGATCCCATTTTGGCAACTGAATGAAGTGAGTGTGCAACCAATATCACCACAAAGAGCAGAAGTGACAGTCTGAAAGGACTGTACAGAGCCCCATCTGAAGTCCAGAAAACCCCTCTCTGACCATGGCCAGTAGCTGATAGGTAGGGGGCAGTTTATGAACAGGGCAAGGGTGTATTAACATTTCCCCAGAAAGCCTCAAAGTCACTCAAGTCTTGCAGCGCTAGGACTGATGGTCAGCATGGTGTCACACGTAATGTGTGTTGTTCAGTGTGCACTGTCTCCTCATCATGTCTGGGAAGCAGACAGGTGAGCTGACTGGTTTTAGTAGCACTCAGACACTTCTGGGTGAATTTCAGGTCTGGTTCCACCACTGACCTCATGAGACAAGGTTTGCGGAGCAGGGTACCTGCCTGCAGCAGGCTCTCCTGCCTCTGGTGCTTGCCATCAGGAAGGACTGCTTAATAATGAATTAGTAAATACAGAACCCCAAGGAGATGGGTTAGAATGGGAACAGTGCAGTACTGGCAGGCCAGTAGTTACTGAAGTAGCTCTTACATGTCTGCCCTCACCACAAGTGCAGCACTACTTTTTTAGGTACATGTCCAAAAAGCTATCTTATAAATGATTTCCTGCCTCAGTCAGGAAGAACTTCTGCTCTTCTGACATTCTAAATTATAGAGTTGAAGACTGTGAAGACTCACCCCAAAATCCCCTTGTAATGGAGGTAGGTATATCCCATTGAAGGAGCAACTGGAGTAAGGACAATTGGTTTTGTCGAAGAGTTTCTGGATGTTTTCTCGGCACTTTTGATAATCCCCCTCTCCCTCTATGTACAGCTGGCTGAAAGGTAATTGCTTTTTCTTGTCTGATGTACAAGGGTTTTTGAAGAAGTCACTTATATTTATAGTCCTCTGATACCCCCGGTGAAAGCACGGGTCAAGGAGACTGCTGCTCTCCATGGTCTGAAAGTAAAAATCAACTCAAGCTGTTACACTTCACTCCAGAGTAACACCCTGAGAAAGAGCCTCAGGGAATGGTGGCCACAAAGCATTTGTCATGGTACATCACATCAGGTCAAAGGGATGAGGATGGCTTAAGACACTGGCTTTGAGGGGGAAGGTGTGGGTACTGCTACAGGCTCCATGTAGGACCCTGGGCAAATCACTTTCAGCCACAGTTTGTGAAGCTGCTGTTGATTTTGGATTCTCAGAGACTGTAAAATGTCGCCTCCCCTGAGTGAAAGTATTGACTGGCACCTCTTTGGGCACCTTGTGCCCAGTTTTTTTGGAGGACAATGATGTTTCCCTAATCCAGACTAAGAGATGAGGCATTTAGCTGGGACACAGCACCAGTATGCCAAAGATGGGAGGGTCCAGGTTCTCCATGTGAAATTACAGGTGTAGATATACTTGCCTGTAGGTCCCTGGCCAGTTTCTGTTGCAGAGCCTGGTCCTTCCCATAGCAGAGAAAGCTGTGTGTGTACACCTGGTAATCCTTGCCATAGAGACGGAAGTAGAGCTGGTTCTCTGGAGACTCAGAAGAGAGTTCCTTTGATACAAAGGTAATCTGTGTTGAGGCTCCTCCGAGGTCTAGTGCTCCTGATGTCTCACTTGTGGATTTCAGGGAATGCAGCAGCTTTTTCCAGCCAGACTTTAAAAAAAAAAATTAATTTCAAAGTAAAACAGATGTATCAGGCATGGAGAAGATTTTATTTTGGAGATAAACAAAAAAGAGAAAGACTTATGTGGAGAAGCAGAAGCATAGAACACAGAAAACACAGGAAGTCTTGGAGAGGGACATGACATGAGAACTGGAACATGACACAAGAAAGATGCAGGCTTGTAAATGCATAACGTGGATCACATCACAGTGTTTGCAGGAGGACTAAGAATATAAAATATAATACAATTGTTATGAGAAAAAGACAGCCAATTTACTGTTTCAGCTCCCAGATGATTTATAAGCTCAACAGTAAAGAATCACTGTCAGACTTTACAGACACAGAAGTATTTTAGATCAGGAAGTGAGAAGGACACTGTACCCAAGCAAAATTATTGAAGATGCTGGTGTTTTATTTCAGTGCTTTAAGCCTGACTACAGTGGTGCAGCCTGATATCACTAAGTGTCAGGATATACTCACAGTAACTGCTGAAGCAAGATGTGCAGCTTCCTGATCCCTGGTAAATGGCTTACAAGGGAAGGTAGTGCTTGCAACAGCTTCTTGCAAGGCATGATTTACAAAGCGCTGCAAGCCAATTATTCAAACATACTTGCTACAGAAATACTACCTGCTTGAAACTACCCAGAAGGTAATTAATGGTGATCCATCCATAGGCTCCTTCTTCCTGACCAGTGATGATTCTGGCACCCTGGAAGTTGAAGGGAGCTAAGCGTAGTGTCGTCTCTACTGAGGACAAGACTTCGTCAGCTGCACTTTCATTCTCCAACCTGGATGAAAGGAAGAAAGGATGGAGTGACTCTGGCTGACAGCTCTCAGTAGTCTATGAGCTTTATTCTGCATAGGCAGGCTGCAACTCCCCACCAAGTGTTAATTATAAGAGAACAGTTATTCATATGGGTCGTCCAGTTCCAACTGGCCATGTCCCTCTCTGTCAACACCTTGACAGCACAGCTGCCACCAGGTCTGACACTTATAGACCCTGGAGCTGAGAGTGATACTTGGAGCAGAGACCAGAGCTCTTGTTCTCCTGGAGCATGTGTCCTGATAGGAATTGCACTATGGAGATTCCTCTCACTCTTCACAATCACCATTTGAGAAGAAATCCGGAAGGTATCCCCAGGGAGATCTCCCAGGCAATATATACATAAGATCAGCTCTGAGTTATAGCTAGACAAGAGTTCTGGGGCACCCCCACGAAAACCACAAATAAGAACTAAAGGAGTATGTGATTATAAAGTTACCTTATCCTCTGATGGCCCCAGGATGAGTCAAGATATGTGGGAAGTTACAACATGGTTGAGCTCAAAAATTCTGGGTTAGGCCTAATACCAGATTGTGGGGATGTTTGAGCATCCCTTTGATATGGGGAATGTCTAAGCATCAGCTTGGCACTGCTGATCTCCTGGTGTCTGTGCTGCATCTGGATGCAGGAGATGATGGAAGGTTGGACTGAGTGGGCAAGCTGAGCAAGCAAGGGAAGAGCCAGGGCGACTCGGGATTCAGAGAGGTCAGCTTCAGAAGAGGGTATCTGGGCACAGTGAGAGCTGGCAGTATCTCCAAGGACTTTTCCCAAGAGGCCCCCACTGAGCATCCATGGTGATCCCATGTGCAGTGCTGCAGGAGAAGGAGACAGGCTCTACAGTACCTGAGAAGCCGCATGCCAGCAGTTGCTCCGAGGTAGACAGGTGTCTCTTTGTGCTGCATTGAGGGAATCACCTCTTTTGCTTGTTGTAGGCACTGTGCCAGAGAGGGACCTGCCTTCTCTGTGGCATGGGAGTAACCTGAGATCCCAGGGCCTGCAAGAAATAAAGACACTTCATTGTTCCAACTCCAAGCATAACCCCACAGTGCTGCCATGAGCAGGTTTATTAAACCATATCACAGCCAGCAGTATCAGATTCAACCCCCCCATTCCTGAGAAGCTTTGGAAATCCTACAGCACCAACTAAACCCAATGCACAGGGGGATGGCCACAGTGCCCAGCATCTGCCACCTGTTCTCCAAGAAGCAGGCTATGAACTAGCAATGAGGACTGCAGTGAAACAAACCATTTCCTGAGCATGTCTTGAACAGCTGCAGACTTCTCTGAGTCTGCCTGGGAGTACCCTGGATCTGCGCCTGAAAATCCCTGACCCTTCACTGTGCTGGGTCCTCCAGGGGCAGATGCTATCATTTGTTTGTGTACTTCATAGTCACACTACAACACTGGGTGTTTTGCAGCTATTGCCTTTCATGTTAACCCAAAGAAAAATTCATTGTCCCTCTCTGCCACATGTCCCCTGAACTGCCCCAGGCCCAGTGCCTGCACAGCAGTGAAGCCCAGGCTGCACTCCCCAAGGTTGCCATATGCTCAGCGTGCTGCCCATGATGTGGGATGGTGCAGTGCTGAGCAGCTATGGGAGCAGCTTGGTAACAGTATGGCTCTTCCCTGCACTGCAGGGGCCTGAAAAGACCCCAGGCAGGTCTGACAATACCTCTCATCCCTTCAGAGTGCAGAGATCCATGATGGTCTGTGCTGCTCCTTGTTGTGTGCACCCTTAGGCTTCATTATGCCTTCCTGAGCCATAAAATATCTACACAGTAATTAAATAGAATAAAAAATAAACCATGACATGCTTAAGTTGAGCAACCTTGGACCTTAAGCCCAGTGCCTAGCTTGCATAGAAGCCTTAAAAAAGAGTAAGCCATGCCCTCCCCTTCTCACTGTCTGATATTCATCAGCACTTCAGCAAAAGTGCATGCTGACACTTTATTTATTTAAATACATTCTTTGGTGTAGATCTTTCCAAAAAGCACTTACTTCCAAGCATTCTAAAAACAAAGGAAAAAGTGGATCCATTTTTCCCCCAGGAAGGTTAAGCATATACAGCTCCCCATGGGAAGAGGTGGGATATACATTACCTCACAGATTACAGAATAAGAATACTCACGGGATATTCTGAGTTGGAAGGGACTCGCAAGGATCATCAAGTCTAACTCTTAAGTGACGTAACACTGTTTTCAGTATTGGCCTCTTCTCCCGGGTTTCTCCTCCCCCACCCTTTGATTGCATTATCTCTTCTTCATCCCATGCCCCTTCCATAGCTCCCTTTCCTCCTCTTACCTTCAACTTTACACACCTCCACCTGCTTCACCACCCCAGTGTCGTTCTCCTTCTCTGCTGGCCACTCGTACACATAGAGGTTAGTGTGGGACGATCCCGCATCCAGCACAATCCCGTACTGTGGGCAAGACAGAGCCACTATCACACCTGAGGCACCAAACCACACACAGTATGTGCTGGCCTCCACACACAGGGGGACCAGAAGCGAACAGCTTATCTGGCAGCTGTGGGAATGTGTTTCATTACTCTTCTCAGCAGTGCTTCAGTGTAAAGTTTCCATCAAAAGATACAAGAGCAGAAAAGCAGCAAAATTGAGACTGATTACTTAAGAGATGATCCCCTATGAAGCCGTATCTGGTTTTACGACAAAGATGTAAAACAAGATGTTGAGGTGCATGGAGCCAGAAAAAGAGGTTAGCCAGACCCAGCAAGGGCAGCAACATGTCCTTGAGCACTATGAACACCTAACTCCCCAGCTTGTTTTAAGAGTACCAGCTTGAAATACCTTAATGTTCTTCGGAAGTGGCTTGTTTTGGGTCACTGCTACAGCAATTAAAGCAATTACAGCCAAAGTAGAGAGGAATCCCAGGATGAGTAGAATCTTTCTTGTCGAGGACATCTTTGGTTTGGTACCTGTGACTAGAGCAGAAAAACGATGTTAGTATCCCAGTAGCCCATTTTACCTCACACTCCAAAGGTCTTTAGGCACATTCCTGCAGTCTCTTTCCACTATGAAACCTTTGCCCATCCCTGTCCCATCTCCTACTCCACGTACTTGTGTGGGATTTCTTAGAGGCAGAGCTCAGCCCTGGTGTCCTGCAGATGTGCTTTCATGGGCCATACCACACCTCCATGGTCTGCCCTGTGCCCAATGTATTTCCCAGATTTATAATCTAGATGTAAATTCAACACATGTAACAACTAAATAGCTCTAGTGGACATACTTGCTCCCACTATGGCAAGAAATCCATTTCTATCCATATTGATGCTCCATACTCAAAAGTACTGATCATCTGACTGCTCAGATGAATATTAATTTCTCTTTTCCTTATACATAAATACTCTAGGAGATGTTTAGAAATACATTACAGGTCATCCAGGATGGTGACAATACTTTGATGCAAGCAACCACATCAGATATTGTCACCCTCCAATAAGGTAAGGTGACTGAACCTGCTCTGCATCTGCATGCCAGAATCGGGGTTCCAGACCTCAGGTGATACCAGATAGCAGTCTCCAGACCTCAGGTGATACCAGGTCCAAATACATTCTGGCACCACATGCCATGCATGCAAATATGAAAAGCATTCAAGTTCTGATCAGGGCCATCTTCTCACTGCTCTGGTTTTATGTGAGAGGCAGTCCCAGGTGCCAGAACTATATAGTGTTACCTGACCTAACAAATGACTCCAAATCCTAGAGTTAGTTTCAGAAGTTAGCCCAACTGAAAAGAAGCAACACACCTCTGGAAATCTCTAACTATTGACAAATAACATCTTCCCACCTACCTAGAGAAAATGGAACTCAGAAATGCCAAGAGAGCTTGCTTTGAAGATGCTGCAGACATGTCCATTGGAAACCTAACATAGACCTGGAGCTCTGTGCTCCCTCTCATCACACTCACATGTAAATCTGCTAACTGTGAAATTTGGAAGCTTGTTACTCACTCTGTGAATGCCTGTTAGGGGCACAGCATGCCTGCCAGTATTTCCAAGAATGCAGCTTGAAAAAATAGTCTAGTGCACATACCAGACAGTAGGAAGTAAGAATGTATTTTATCCAGCTTTAATGAAAAATGCCCCAGAACTCATGGCTTAAAGTGATTAGAAACAGCAGAGTGTGACAGCTGGGAGACTTTTCTTCCTATTGGAGAGAGTAGCTGGCTCAGGTTATGATAGCACTGAGCATGTCTGTTAAACAAAGATTATTTTAACCCTAGCAAAATGAATAAAACCAGATGCTATAATGTAAAATTAGCTGCACAGTATAGATAAGAAGTTAGCGTGCTTGAAACATGAAAGTGCTGCTGACAGTTGCACAGCACATTCACACAATTATTGCCACCCTTACTTTGAGATCTTGCCTAAAGGCAGCCACTAATGGCTTTGTTGAGTGTTTACTGTCATAGGAACGAAGGCTGGGTGACTTTGCACAACTTCTAAGATTTTCAAATTTCCTGTTGTGATGGGTATTGTCTGACTGCTGTGTCTTTTCAGCAGCCACACTCTGAAAAGTACCAGCATTAGCAGCAAAGCAGGAACAATTTTCTCCCTATAATGGACCGTTCCAATAAACAGTTGTAGAAATCCCTTGCCTGTAGGCAGAGGCATACTGACAATTGTCTGGTCCCTTGCCTGTAGGCAGAGGCATACTGACAATTGTCTGGTCCCACCTGCAGTGTGAGATCCGTCATTTTTTTGCCAAGGCACATTATTTCCTTAACCCTGAATGTGACTCTTGCCTGAATTTTAGTTCAGTATCATGAGCACTTTTCAGGGCTCTGCGGGTTGTAGAGATGTGATTTCATTGCTGTATCCCATATCAGAGTATCCATCTGTGTGAACTCTTATGCTACCGAGGAGCATTTTATTGAAATGTTTCATACAGGAAAAGGTACAGAATGATAAGCATAATCCAGAAGGCAGCCTAGCAAAGTAATAACCTCCAAAATAGCACTCAAAGTGTACATAACTGAATACTCAATTATTTAAAAAAACAAACAAATCCCAAACCAAACAACAACACTGCAAATCCAGGTAAAGAATTCAATGTCATAACAATTCACCTGCCATTTGTTCAGAAAAGTGAGGCATTTCAACAAGTTCCCTTTTCTGTGCACTTGGTTACCTCCATCAGCTCTAGGTTCCAGTGGCTAAAGAATGAACTTATTCTCGCTTCCTCCAACTCCTTTGAATTTCAAATCCACACTCCTGAATGTCATGCAGACACTCCCCAGTGTCCACAAAGTGGAGCAGTACTTGACCGTCTGGTTGCCAGACCCCAGGATTTTTCTTCCATTAGCAGTTTTTCCTCAGCTAAAGATTAAGCAGACATGATCTTCTGTCTCTGTGCCCAGCTAGAACCCAAATAGAGACAGATCTCTACTCTTTCTCCCATGCTGCCCTCTGTAAGCAGTGATAAAAACATAAGGCCATAAGTAGGCATAGAAACGACACTGCTTTTCTTCTCCCCAACCTCAGAGCTGCTGGGTGCTGGAGCCCTGCCCGGCTGCGCGGGCATTAAGCACTCTCTAGATGTTGGAGCACAGCCCAGCTGCTCAGGCATCTCTGTCTGTTTCTAATTTTGGTCTCTTTGCTTTTTTTGTAAGGGCTACCATTGGTTCCATCCAGTAGATGGTCTCAAAACACAACCAGATCTAATACCCTTTCTGTCTCTAAGACAGAGAACCGAGAAGGATGTTGTCAGCCACTCCAGCTGACAGCAGTTTTGCTGCAGAAATCCTGTTGCTCTCAGTGCATAACCCAGGAAGGACCACACCAGTGTGGGAGGCAACTCTCTGTGAAGGCAAAGAAGCAGGTTTGACTCCTTTGTCTTCCAGAGCCTCAAGACAAATATGAAACTACCCCTGGAATGACACTAAGTCACTGGCAGATATATATGCCAGGAGATGTCACTCACAGCCAAGGCTGCCCACCTCCCAACTCCCTTCTCACCAAGCAAGACTTAGCAACAAAAGTTAAAAGGAATCAGGCAACCAGCTGCTTTTAGAGATGAAATAAGGAGAGACTAAGGCTTGTTTGAAAACTGAAATTAGGATTGTCAAGGAGAAAAGGAAAGATGCTGTGCATAGTCCAAAGCCATGCTCGATTCAGATAACCTCACTGTAACCCATCATCTCTAATAAATACAGATATTTTTGTAAACTCTGGCTTAGCACAACAGCTAAAGTTGATATGTGATCTTTCCTTTAGGTGTTCACACTCAATCTGTTACAGAAGAGATCATAAGAGACTGTAATGCAAGGCCATCACTCTTCCACTGCACAAGTGCCACACTGACAGAGACAGTTCCCACCATCACCTTTACGCTCTCACTACACCTCTGTTTGGTCAGAAACATTCTCACTTTCAGTCTTTATTTCTTTATTGCTAGTCTGTTCCTTCTGTCTGTGTTCCACTTTGATCTCATAACTTCTGCAACTCTCAATCCTTTTGGAATTTATTCCCTTAGTCAACTTATAAACAATGATCCTTTCTGGATTTTTGTGTTTCCAGCCTTTTCCATCTAACTGAAGAGTTCAGCAGTACTTCTCTGCATATAGAATAATCTGCTTTTATTTTTCTTGAGCATTCTGACCAGAGCTGCAAGGCTAGCCTTGCACAGTAATGAACACAGGATATGACACAGTCCCAGCCCAAAACGAAGTGAGGTAGGGACCTGTACTACCTCAGAAACATGATCATCTACCAAAATGGCCAGAGTTAAGTCAACCCAGCACCTCTGCTATGGAATCCCAGCAAACCCACCTATTAGAGAGGGGCTTGGGCAATGCAGTCTGTGCTCATTTACTAACTGCAGGGTTTCATATCTGTGGAGTTCTGTCAGCAGTGATGGCAGGGAAAGGGCATGGGAGCAGTCAGTGCTGCTGTTCAGAGAGGGGATACACACATAATCCTTTTGGTGAGTTAAAATGAGATTGCAGTAGTCATTAAGCTTTTCAGGCTGAATTGCCTGAAAAACTCACCAATTACTCTGTGAGGCTGCTGAACTTGCAGGTTTTGATGCACGTTACTCAAGAGGCAACTCCTGCCTTCAGACTCACCACAACCAAACATCTGAAACCATAAACACTCAGAAGAGCCACACTCTTTAATTTATCAACCATTTTATGAAATTTCCTCTGTCCCCAACTGACTTCTTACTCATTCTTTATCTGCCTTTTTCATTTAAACATCCTCTTATCTAGGTTACCTAGGAAGACTTTGCAAGTAATGTAAACCACCTGTTTCAGGCCAACATGTCTTAGGCTGTGGAGAGGCTCAGGTTTGTTTTAGAATATACATACAAGTACATAGACAGTAAGTAAATGGCTTTGGTTTAAGAGGGTTTATTTCAAAATCTTGATGCTAGACACTGGGCATGTTGAAATTAGAATTTAAGCTCCAGATCAGGATTTTTACAACTGTTACACAGAACAGTGTGGGAGACTCTGCTCCAAGTTTTAATTATTCATATGGCAAAGATTGTGGCCTAAATACTGGTGTGATCTCTGACCCTCCTAGTAGTGCTATGTAGAATAATAAATACACATTTACTGGATTATGTTTTTCCAGTTTAAATACTTTTAAGTGCTGAAGTACAAACACTGAAGTGTCAGCAAAACTGATAATCCAAACAATGTAATGAGTTTTTTGGATGCTGTCTTTCAGAGACATTTGATACTGAGATCACGCAGCCCTACATGTCTCAAATCCCAGCAGACTCCTATGAATCTAGGCTACACAGCCAGGCAGAGTGCTTGAACTAATCTGTTCCATGTACACACATACCTGTGCACTAGTGAGCTGGAAGATAAAGAGTGTGCTTGTCTCTGAGATAACACCAAGCTGGGAGAAAAGCTCACTGACACACAGGACTGGAATTGAAAATAAATTTGACAAATAGGGGAGAGCCTAACT